CTGGCAGAGAAGTGTCTCTGCTCCTGCAGCATGCCCTGTCAAATGGGAATTGGCATCAGATGTTGAGGAGTTTATTTGCCCCCACAGAGCCATGCATGGCTGATGCTGCTGACCTGGAAAGGGACCTTTTTACAAGGGCAGGTAGGGATAGGATAAAGGGGGGATGACATCTGGAAGAAGCTCTTCCCTGTAAAGGTGGTTATGCCCTGGCAGAGGGTGCCCAGGGAAGTTGTGGCTGCCCCATCCCTGGTAGTGTTCTAGGCGAGGCTGGACAGGGCTTGGAGCAAGCTGCTGTAGTGGAAGGTGTCCCTGCCTATGGGTGTGGGTTGGAACTGGAGGAGCTTTAAGGTCCCTTCAACCCAAACCAGTCTGTGATTCTATGACCTGGCAGGAAATGCAACAGCCACCTGCTATGTGCTTGTCCTGAGCTCCTCCTGTGAACACCCAGCAAAGCCCCAATCCTGAGTCACTGCCTCCTCAAACCTCTTTGATATGAAAGGATTAGGACACAGAAATTGCATTAGCTTTCATATGTACTCACATGTCAAACCCAAACTGATCAGGAATAAAATACTCTGATGTAACTTAGACAAACATTCAGAACTGACTATAATACATATGGAAATGACAGACCTAGGGAAAAACTGAACCACATTTGAACTTCAAAGTCTTTTCTCCCCCTTAGTTTGTAGCTGCTTGCCAAGACCTAGTGAGTCTGTAGATCCGGGGCTTCCCTGCAAGAGCTGGTGAGAGTTACAAGTGCTTAAAACTTATTTAGGGAGACAGTGTCTTTACAGTCATTAGACTCATTAGGCTGCTTTTCAGGCTGAGAAGCAGCTCTCCAGAGCAAAACTATTTGAACACAAAACTTAGACCAGAAATCCTATAATACTTGGCTTAAAAGATATTAATTTGGGGAGTGGGGAGGGGAGTTAATGAATTTCACACTCGGGAAGTGCTATCAGATTTTGGTGCCATCTGCTTATGCTTAAGACAGTTTCCCAGGCAGCTTTTCTATGCTGCCTCAAGCCTCTCCTGGTGCGAGACCATGTACAAGGGTAACCTCCGTGCTGGGCCTCCCAGGGGAGCCTCTATCAAGCATTACAGTCTGACACCCAATATATGTGCAGTTAATTTATAAATAGCAACAGCTTGGAACTACTTTGTTGAAGGAAAGGGCAAAATGAAATAGAATGAGAAAAAAAATGGTACATCATGTGGTGGAACAGATTCACACTCTTCTAAAGACAATTCTGCATTTGTTCTGTACTGGATTCATTTAGTCTCTATTAATCCCGAAGCATAACAAATTCATAGAGGAATTACTTCACCCCCCAGTGAGAAAGCAATAGAATAAGCAAAATCCCAGCACCAACATAAGGTGGAAAGACACAAGCACATGAGGCAATTTACTGCACTTTTTTGAAGGAAATAAAATGTAATTGCTCTTATTAGAGACTACTCAGGACAACAGAACTGACTTCCAGAACAGCCAGGAGCTGCTGCTTCTATGAAGTCATGGGATACACGTCCCAGCAATTTGTCTGTATCAAAAGACAGAGCATGTCTTTGAACAGAATAAAGCACCAACTCAGAGGGGACTCATTTTCTAGATGGTAAGAATGATGACAGAGTACCTCAGAGATCTTCAATGCAAATAGTCACCTCCCCTGGCACCCCTCAGCTTGTGAGATCTAAGAGGATCACACAACACAACATGGGCTGAACAGGGATTAAAGTCCTCGGAAGAGACGCAGCTGAAAACACCAGGATGTCAACAGGAATCCTGGGAACAGCATTTGTAAATTCACAGCTACTGTGATGTCACTGGAATGTGGAAGTGTTTTGTTTTGGGAGATCTTTTGCAAGTTTTCCTACAGTTACAACTGACAGCCAGATGACTTTACACTGCACGGTTTGTATCTGCTTTTGTTTGGGCATTTCTTTTGCTGTGGTCACTTCAACCTGCCCTTGAACACGGCCAGGGATGGAAGTGTCCTTAATGTATTTTTTTGAGTCCTTTAATGTATTCTGGGAGGTGGGAGTGAAAATGTCCATTTTGGAAAGAGATGGAAAAGAAGCAACATCTCTGCAGAGATTTGTTTGAAATTTTGTGCATGAGGATTTCACAGAGAGCTTTCTGCTGTTGACCCCAGGTGGTACATACATAACTCCTCCAGCACAGAATACACACAAACCTTATCTAGAGACATTAAAGAAAGCTTCTTGACATTGAAAATCAAATTGATTTCTTGCCAAGATTTCACAAGGGCATGTGTGACAGCAAATGACATGCTTAAGCCTTGCAAGAAGAAAATAAACATGTCCAATGCAAAACCCATCAGTTTCTGTGCCAGCTTGAATTATGCACATCTGTACTGATTTGACACCCAGCCTGCTTGGCAGCAGAGGCAAAGTGTGTGTTGCCACAAGCTGAAGTAGATAAATAGGGTAGAACAGCACTCACCATCACATATAAGGCTGCAGAGAAAGCAGTTTATAGATGTAAGGAAATAGTGTCCTTTCTCTTTGTTTCTCACGTGCCTGTTCAGGGAGCAGCTGCTTGGAAAGCCACTGCTGCTGCCTTGGACTTGATTTGTCTTCATTTTTGTTCCTTTTGTGCTATGCACTGAACAGTTAGCCATCAGGAAACTGTTGACTTTCTGCCATCTTATAAGCAGGAGAGAATTTCACATCAGGCAGAAACAGCCTTTCTCCAAAGAGTCAGCAATTTAGTGTTTAAGGCACTTTGACGGATAAGAATACCTGAAGCTCACACCCTTGCTCCAAATCTGGCTGAGCAGACACTTGAACACGAGGCTACTACACTCAGAGTGACTTCCTACCACTAAACTCTGGGCAATATGGTAGTCCCTCTCACCAAGTGCCTTTTCATTTCCAGGAAATTTGTATTCCTGTTTAAAATGAGGTCTGAACTCCAGTTTTTAACAAAAGCAAGGGAAAGTGGATTGCTCGCACTTGCCCAGCAGTGTGACACAAGGTCTCTTATCCCTCTCATGTCGTTTCTCTTAAATTATTTGTCAAATTGGAGTGTAGACTCTTCAGGCCAAGCACCATCCTTTAAAACAAGTGTACATATCACTTCCAATTTCACTACCTGGTGAACAGAAACAAATGTTTCTTTAAGTCCCCTCATACTTCCATCCACCAGAGATTAATGAAACTGCCACCTCCTGCCGTGCATTTTGCTATATTAACATAAAGTTTCAGTTGCACAGCAGTTTGATCCATTTGTGTTTATTTAATCCTGTGTTCTGACAGGAGAAGATGGAGACTCTGCATAATTAATAATGACCCAAGCAATCTTACTTAATGCCTGTTCTGAAACCCCTGACTTTCCTGGTTAACTAACGACATCTATAATAGTGTCAGACAGGTAAAAGACTCCTTTAGTCTGTTGAGATATTATTCACCTGAGATTATCAATGGGTGTTTTTTAGCTCTTGCCATTAGCTGGAATTGCTCAGGTCATTCATAAAACTTTTTTTACTTTTCACAAAGGCAGAACAAAAGCAGGACTGGAGCAAAAAGCCATGGCCACCTGCATGAACCTCCTGTTTATATAGATATTGCCATAGTCCTCCTTTCCTCTCACAAAGGCAGAAAAAGGGATTGTAAGAGTTCTTCCAGTTATAAGCCATTCCCCCGACAGCTTTAGAAGCATCAATGACTCATAAAAGATCACAACAAGCTGTGCTTGCTACAGAAAAACAGAGAATCACGGACTAGTTTGGATAGGAAAGGAACTTAAAGCTCATCCAGTTCCAAGCCCCCGCCATGGGCAGAGACACCTTCCACTAGACCAGGTTGTTCCAACCCATTCTGCCTAAGATCTCATCTCAATCTCTCCTCTGTCAGTTTACAGCCATCCTCTCTTGTCCTGTCCCTACCTGCCCTTGTAAAAGGTCCCTCTCCAGATTTCTTGTCACCCCCTTTAGGGTTACCTTCATCCTTAAGACCTCCCTCTGCCCCCACAAAAGAAGACAAGCAGCTTTAGCTACCTGCTGGGTCCAGGTGCCTGTCCCTGTGATTGGAAGAGCAATCACAGCATCTCCAGGCAAGCCCCAAGTTCAAAGCCCTGTCTGTGTGATCTTAGCCCAGACTTCCCATCAAACCTCCTGCTTTGGCTCAGTTTCTCTTTGACGTAAAACCACTCCATTGCACAGCAAACTATTCACACTGTGAGTGAATCTCCAAGCAGTAGCCGGCACACCAAGAGCAATGCTGCTTTAACTGTTGTCCAGCTTATTACGCAGTGAGCCTTAACTGCCCTTCCACATTTAGTTTATACCAACACTGTTTTTAGTTTCATCTACTAGCAATTTTGAAGGGATTTAAAGACTTTTTGGGTGCATGAATGGTGGGTTTGGGCTTCATACCCCTGGGGCAGACCAGGCCAGAAGGTTCCAATTTAGAGGGATTAACAGCAAGCAACAGCCCCCAGGCAAGAGGTGCTATCTAAAGAGCATGTGGGAGATGTCAAGCTCAGAGTGGGCAAAGGCTTTATTTCCTCCAACGAAGTAAACTTGTAGTTCCTAACACCAGAACAATGCCATTTGCCAAATCAGATGAAACGCTTGTAACAGGGGCTAATCAGATTCTACATTAATGAGAGAAAATATGAAGCTAATCAACACCCAGGCAGGTCTCTAGGCTGCAGGCCTATTAAACTTCATAAAAAATTAATGACTGAAAGAGCAAAATCGTTTGTAAGGGGTCTCCAGTGGCAGTGGAAGCGTCTTGAGTACCGTTCACCTCTCATTACACTGAATTAGCCTCACTTGCCAACCCCAAACACCAGCTACTGAGCAGCAGTTTCTGCTCAGAACTGGGTAACTGCTTCAGGAGAGTCCTGACACATTTATCCATTCATCCTCCCTCCTTCACACCTTCTGCTCCATTTTCATGATGGCTTTTTCCATTTTAATTAAGGAAATTTGTACTCTGCTAGCTCCCGGGAAATACCTTTGTTCCTTGAGGTCTGCAGGCATCCACGGTGAGCAGGAAGCGGTGCTGCTGCATCAGCTGCGGTGAAGCGAGGGGTTGCAACCTGGAAAACAGAGCTGGTGTGAGAACAGAGAGCCACATCAGAGGGCTGGAGCTGCTCTGCTCTGGAGCCAGGCTCAGAGAGCTGGGCTGGGTCAGCCTGAAGGAGAGAAGGTTCCTTAAGGGGAGACCTTAGAGCAGCTCCAGTGCCTGAAGGGGCTCCAGGAAACCTGGAGAGAGGCTTTTGATGAGGGCCTGTAGGGACAGGCCAAGGGGAATGGCTTTAACCTGCCAGAGGGCAGACTGAGATGAGCTCTTAGGCAGAAGCTCTTCCCTGGGAGGGTGCTGAGGCGCTGGCACAGGGTGCCCAGAGAAGCTGCGGCTGCCCCATCCCTGGCAGTGTTCAAGGCCAGCTTGGACACAGGGGCTTGGAGCAAGCTGCTCTAGTGGAAAGGGTCCCTAGACCCCCATGGCAGGGGTTGGAGCTGGATGAGCTTTAAGGTCCCTTCCAACCCAAACCAGTCTGTGATATGATATGATTTTTGGTTTCAAGGTATTTCCCTTGGAAATAGATTTTCATTTTGGAAATGAACAGGGGAAAGCTTTGCAGGCACTAGACTCCTATCAGAGCAACTGGAATTTAGTCTCAGTGCTGCCAGTTTCACTGTCCCATCTCTAGAAGGTTATGAATTACTAATAAGATACAAAAATGTAGATCATAATACAATGAACTACAAGATCAGAAACAAGGCAGGTCCTTCTGGCTTACATCTGTTGAACAAAATTGATACTCCAATGATTTAAGCTATTCTAGTCAAGTATAAATAAGACACGTTAAACCTGCCTGGTCCAGCTCTTTTTCTCACATGTATTGTTCAAGTTTTCACCTAATTGCAAGGTTGCGCACAACAGATCACTTGAAGTGATAGTTGGTATTCACTGCTGTGGAGGTAAAACAATCATTTCTTACATCTTTTGGCTGGGAAAACAAAAGACCATTAGAGCAAAACTTAAATGTTTAATGCATTATGTAAATTAGCTGTTTAAGCACACGCCTAGTTCAGTGAATGAAAAGTAGAGGAGGTACATTAAAAAGTATGAGAAAGACATCTGGAGGATTCAATAATCATTGTTTCAGTACATGCGTCTCAGAAGACCTAGAGGTTTTGATCTGAAACATCTTCATGCCTGAATGGTTGTCAGGGGCATAGTCCCAGTCTTATTTATAACCTGATGCAGCTGGATTAAGCACCTCTTGTTTCTTAATCAGGTTACAGGAGACTGTCATTTATGTCTTCAGTATTGAGACATTTCATTTTCTCTCTTTATGTGGTGTTGCAGTACAGTAGTTGGAACTCATTGCCATTTATGAACCTGCCTGGAGAATGGAAGTCCCACAGCTTATCAAGGCTTAATCTTTGCACATGGCACTGGAGACAATGCCACACTCTCTGCTGCCTGGGACTTTAAAAAATCATGTCATGGTTTAAACCAAACCAGACAACTGGTTCACTCACTTCTCCTCGCTTCTTGCCCTCCCCCTACTCCTGGAGGTACGGAGAGGAGAGTCAAAAAGAATGCAACTCCCACGGGTTGAGATAAGAACAGTTTAGTAACTAAGGTATAACACAAATCACTACTGCTACCACCAATTAGAATAATGATAAAGGAAATAAGAAGAGAATACAACACCTCACCACCAGCCAACCAATAACTCGTCCCCCCCAGCCTGACCAAGCACCGACTGATACCTCCTCCAACCCTGCAGTCTCCCAGCCCTTCCGGCTAACTCCCAGTTCCATCCTGGGCATGACGTGCTGTGGTATGGAATACCTCTTTGGTCAGTTTGGGTCAGGTGTCCTGTCTCTGCTTCCTCCCGGCTTCCCCTCCTCCCTGACAGAGCATGAGGCTCACAAAGTCCTTGGCCAAACCAAAACACCCTTGTTATCAGCTCTGTTCCCAAGATGAAAGTCAAAACACTGCACTGCGCCAGCTACCAAAAAGGAGAAAAATGACTGCTACTGCTGAACCCAGGACATTATCCACCCCTTATTCCATACCATTCATGTCATGCTCAGATCCCACATTTTCAATATACCATCACTCTTATCTTAGTGCATGGACCAGTAGCTATAAAGCTGCTGCGTCCATCTGGTCCATGATGTCACGCTCCATCTCTTGTACCAGTCTTCCAGAGCAGGAGAGACTGGGTGCAGTGTTCACACTTGTGAATAACCTGGGCAATAATGTCCATTGCTAAGTCCACCCCTCGATCACGAGTCCATCTCTATGTTGCATTTATGCTCTGATGGCCTGAAATGCCATGGGCCCACTCAAAATAATTCACCCTCCCCTTCAGCAGTTTCTGCAGCTTGTTGCTGGGGACTCCATACAGCTGCCTTCCATCTCCGACACTTCCAAAGCACTGGAGGGGCCCACTGGACTAGATACTTGCCCATACTGTCCCACACACCCTGCCACTCATGACTGTCCAGCTTTGGGGAAAATCTCCTGGTCCTCCTATATCGTCGTCTAACCCCAGACAAGACCCAAACCTGACTCTGCTTAACTTTTGAGATCAGACAAAATGGTGGTGGGTAAAACACACTCTGTATGTGTGCCAACATGCTGATCCCCATCACAATCAGCAGGCAGGTCCCAAGGATACCCAAAGCCCATTCACAACCTTCAGAACTCTCACACGATGCTGCTGTACTTGTCACTGGGGCTGGTGTAGCTGCTGTGCTTGCCGGCTCTCCCACCGCCAGCTTCTCTTTTCCCGAGTCCAGCTCTTTCTCCTCTGCCTTGCTGGGAAATGCTGCGTGGTCTCCTGCATCCTCCTGGGGCTCGGCGGGCGGCTTCCGGGGAATGCTCTCGGCCGTCGCGGGGCGAGGCTCGGCCGCGGGGCTGGGCTCGGCCGCGGGGCTCGGTTCCTCCGCCGCCTTCTCCCGCTGCTCGGCAGCCGCCTCGTTCCTCTCCTCGACCGCCCCGACCTCGTCCACCGGCAGCCGTCCCCTCGCGGCCTCCGGCCCCGCTCCCGCCGCCGCTTGGTCCCCGGGGCCGCTCTCCCGAGCCGGTTCGGCTGCCGCCGGCTCCCGGGGCCGCTCCCCCTCGGCTCCCCGCGGACTCACCAAGACGGAGGCGAGGGTGAGGGCCAGGCCGGTGAAGAGCAGCCGGACGGGCAGGTACAAGTCCACGGCCGCGTCCGTCCCGCCCTGCTGCTGGAGCCCGGCCGTATTACAAGTCATTGCCATAAAGTACAGTGAGACAAGAACCTTAGCCCAAGCCCCACACTTGATAAACACTAACACAGCAAATACCGGCTCTAAGTAAGTTACAACATTCTGAAACTGTGAGATCAAGAGGAACAATTCTGAGAGCCAATAAATCAGCATTGTGATGAATGATTATTAATCCAGTCAGATCTGTCGTTTTCTCAACCCCTCGTGCCCCACGTTGGGCGCCAAAAAGAACTGTCGTGGTTTAAACCAAACCAGACAACTGGTTCACTCACTTCTCCTCGCTTCTTGCCCTCCCCCTACTCCTGGAAGGACGGAGAGGAGAGTCAAAAAGAATGCAACTCCCACGGGTTGAGATAAGAACAGTTTAGTAACTAAGGTATAACACAGATCACTACTGCTACCACCAATTAGAATAATGATAAAGGAAATAAGAAGAGAATACAACACCTCACCATCAGCCAACCAATAACTCGCCCTCCCCAGCCCGAGCAAGCACCGACTGATACCTCCTCCAACCCTGCAGTCTCCCAGCCCTTCCGGCTAACTCCCAGTTCCATCCTGGGCATGACGTGCTGTGGTATGGAATACCTCTTTGGTCAGTTTGGGTCAGGTGTCCTGTCTCTGCTTCCTCCCGGCTTCCCCTCCTCCCTGACAGAGCATGAGGCTCACAAAGTCCTTGGCCAAACCAAAACACCCTTGTTATCAGCTCTGTTCCCAAGCCGAAAGTCAAAACACTGCACTGCGCCAGCTACCAAGAAGGAGAAAAATGACTGCTACTGCTGAACCCAGGACACCTCCTCACAAATAAGTGTCTCTTTCTGCCACTTTGGGATACCAGCAGATGAGATTTGCTTTGTTCTCAGCTCCCAGCCATGCATGGAGCTGCATGAGATGCAGGGCAATGAAAAGAGTTTTCATTGACTCAATCATACTGAAATCACATGGATTTGCTTCAGGAGGAGCACTGCAGAGCAGTGAATAACTACAGATCATTATATAGAATCACAGAATGTTTGTTTTGGAAGGGAGCTTAAAGCTCATCCCGTTCCAACTCCCTGCGGTTGGCAGGGACACCTCCCATTAAACCAGCCTGTTCCAAGCCCCGTCCAACCTGGCCTTGAACACTGCAGGAATGGTAGCTTGAGTTGTAGGACCTGTGCTGTGTTCCTGTACATTTATATAGGCAAATAAGTTGTGGTTGCAGTTTGAGCAATGCCTGAGAGAGATACAAGACAAACTGCAATCATGGATATACTCTTCCTCATCCTTCCCCTAAAAACTTAGGGACAAATTCTCACCTGGCAGATGAGAGTTCTCAGTGACAGAGTTCAGACTTTGGGAGTCCAAAGAGTTGAATTTCACAGCTTAGTACACAGACAGAGGGGATGCAACTTGTCTAAGTCAATGGCAAAGGCAGATCTATAGTTCATCTTTCCTGACTATCAAAAGTGTCTCCATTTAGAAAAAAGCATGCAGCCCCTTTGGAGATAAAGGTTTACATCTGTAACACTTTACTCCTACAGAAGATAAACTATAAAGTTGTCCTTCATGCTGCCAGACAGTCCCACCTTGCAAGAAGTTGCATATGACAAAAATGGATGACCATCCCAGCCAAAAAGGGGCAAGACTAGGTAGAAAGCAACTTGCCTGACACCTGAGTGCTCTTTAGCACTTTGCAAGTATTCAGTTACTTGAAAATAGTTTGGATATTCTTGTGTAACAGAGGTGGGATCCACTGAAATCCTAAGACACCTCTCCTTTAAAAAATCTAGAACTGATTAATCACCCTTGTAGCTATGCTGACTCAGAGGCTGGGAAGGAG